TTTATATACATATTAGAATAATATATATTTTAGATCTATGTAAAGATATAATGTATATATGTGCATCTGTATATATATACCATATATATCATGTATAACCACACACATATACATATATATGTCTCTGTGTGTGTGTGTGTGTGTGTGTGTGTGTATATATATGTAAAATGTTTATTCCAATCTTCTATGGTTTGGGGATTTTTTTAGTAAACACTAGGAATAAAAAAAATTAATTTCTTCCTGATACTCTTGAAATTAGTTACAGTAACCATAGAGAGCTGGCTTTTATATTTAAGAACTATTAGGACCCAAGTCTAGACTCTTTCTCATCAAAGCACAGACAGACTGAATTGCAGGATTGTATATGGTAGAGAAAAGAGCTGGAATATTTTTTAAGTTTTTCTTTTGCATTGGGAGGCATGCATTATTTTATGATCCTCAAAAAAGGATCATCATGTCACAAAAATATGAGACTGAGAGAAAATTGACATTATTTAGTAGAAACAGAAGGACCTCACATTAGTAGGACTCTACAACACCCAAGGTAGTCTACTCAAGCACCTCACCACCTGACTTCATCTTGGCTGAAAATCAAGCACCAGCATGGAAAGTGATTCCTCCTTGACCCTCATGCAGTGGATAAAGGAAACAACAGATTGCCAGCATATTTTAAAACCATCTTTCAGATACTGGACAGCTGTTTCCATGTTCCCAACTTAGCCTGAGTTGGCACTGATGTCTGATGCAACCTGGAAGTCATAGCTGGACTGTACAGGAATGATTGCTTTACCTCCATGGGGTACGGTGCATTAAAGTCAACTTCTGCTAGCGCCCAGTCCGCACTCAGTGCACTGTCCACTTTCCAGATCTCTTCATAAAAGCCACTTGTGTCTCTCAAGTAAACGGTAAAAACAATGCTGCTCTCCTGCTTAAGTTGGTAATAAAAAGACAAGCAGCCAGACATTGGGGCCGTGGTCTTTGGTGAGATCAGCTGGGCCACTTCCTGAAAATGTTTGACGTAAACAGAGTCCACATACATGTAGTGACCTAAAGGTATAAAAGAAACTTGGTATAATGACACCCTTTAAAGGACACCACTTACAAGAAGATGTCAAGATATGGGCAGGGACTAGATATGTATCTCTATGACCTGGACAACAATGGTGGGTTCCTAGGAAATTTTAGTAATTCTAAGAAATTTTTTTCCTCTCCTTTCCTCCTATGTACAACCCAAAGTTGTTTGGTTAAGATACCACAGGCAAAACAGTCAGTCTCAGCTCTTTCTTAAGTTTTTATTTGAGACCTGTCTAGTAAAGAAAGTAATAAACTGTCTGAAATTTGGGAACCATTGTTAAATGGATAATATGTTACAACTGAGTAAATTCCCTGCCCCCCAACAGCTCAGTATAGTATTTAGTCTTTTTCCAAGTGCAACTTTTACTGAGGCAACCTAAGTAAATGAACAAGACTGTAAACCATGTCTTTCCTCACGTTTTACTCATCAGTTTATTTAATGTATATCAAATGAATTGGCAAATAACCTTTATTCTGCACATTTCACTGCCTGTATTATTCTGCTTGGTCTATCTAGGGTTTGGTTTCTAAATGCTTTATCTTTACTGAAGAGATTGGTTTCTTTGTAAAATCCTTAAAAAAGACTTTTAGGAGATGTTCATCTACAGAAAAATGCGTAAGTAGATTCCCTCCCCCTCAACAGCCAATATGACCTGCAGGATTTTCAAAGGGTACAGCTTCTCAAATTTTGATTTTGGGAGAGATATCTCAATTTAAGCAGGACACATCCGTGTGCATGGATATGCTGTGCATCTGTACTTTTCCTTCTTCTACACTCCCAGAAACACAGCATCAAAGAGCATCAGTTGATGAATGGAAAAATGGCTCTTCACAAGTAGAAAACTTACAGAAGAATGAAGTGCCAAACTGACAGGGTACTTTAGCATGGAGATTGCAAAGTGTGCTGTTAGGTTTCTATCTACACCACTACATTAATTACTAATAGCGTTCTCAAACCTGGAGTTGTCACTTCTTGCTTCATTCCAGTGGGAGGAGGGGAAAGGGCTCACTTGGCTTTGGGTGTCCTCCTCCAGCCTCCCCACTGCCAGGGGACTGGTGACACTTCAGCAGTACTGGCCTGAGAAGTTCTGGTCTTTGTTTTTCCTCTGCAGTTTTACCACATTTCATAGCTTAATTACAATGTCCCTGACAAACGGTTGATATACCTTCATAGCACACTTCTGTGACTGTTGGCTTCTTGGGGTCTTCTCAGTCTTCTGGGGTCAGGAGTAAGGGTTTGATGTGAAAAAGAAACAGTATGGCTACGAGAAAACAGATCCCTCCCAGTTGGTGGCATTTGCTATCACATACAGTACTTGTTAATATGTGGAGCCGCTGTCTGCCATTGAAGTTGTGGTGAGTTAAACTGCCATCAAAATTTTACTAGCATTTAGGTGACGTGGGATTATGCAGGGCTGGACTGACACTCTGTACTCAACTCACACAATTGTGAAATAAAAAAAAAAGGCACAGCGGCATGAGTTAAGGAAAGAGGATCAACCCTGCTTTTCATGATGCAATTTCTTACACTGTCACAAGCATCACATTGTCTGAGACAGAGCGTGCTGCAGCGGCCAGATCTCCTGACCATCGCCTGCTGTGGTACTTCATGCAACGCTATATCAAAGGCTAAGATATCCCCCAACCCTTCCCTGTGACTACATAAAACGTTCTCCTCTCAGCAAGGTGGCCGGCACAATCATTTCATAAAGGGAAAGTGCTGAAAATCCTTTAAGCCTTTACAGCATTTTGCCTCTGATGGACAGTATTAACAGCACTACGTTTGACTGAAACAAAATTCCTAAGCCCTGTGCAATTTAACTAAATATGTTTTAATCCTTTAGCTTTGCTACTCAACTTTCCCAATAGCCACTGGAAAGAAAACCTCTGCCAAATGTACAGAGCAGCGGTACAAGATTTTAAAGTGTATTGTGGCCCATACTTTTAGAATCCACAGAATTTTCCCCCTCTCTGTCCAAAATTTTATCCTTCTTTCGAGTAATTTTAAAGCCTAGCAAAGGGCATAACAACCTTATTATAAAGCTTACAGGAAATTTTGTGTGAGCTTCTGCAAATTCTCCCCATCTTTTTCTAATCCCTTTTTTCATATAAGTCATTCTTCCCCCACCCAATGCCAGGAGAAAAGAAAGATCTCACATAACAATTTGCAGTATAAGAGTCATACATGGATCACAGACCCAAATTTTCCACTACACTTCTGTTTTACATTTGTTGCTTACCCAGTTCACTGTTTAGTGTGTGGTCTTTGGGCAGGATAGACTGAGAATTGCGAATGTTCCCTCCACCAACAAACCAGTTGACATTGGGGTTCCAGCGGTTCACAAAGCCACAAAGATGATTTTCTTCAAAGTCACATTCTGCAATTGCAGACATCACCAGCTCAGTGCACACATTTTCATTACAGAAACTGGAAAAAGAGGCTATTGCTAAGCACCAGCCTTATTTTACATATGGCAGTGCAATTAACACCTACATTTATAAAACTGTACCCAGAATTTAAAAGCTTATGATTAATGGAAGCAAACTTAGCCACAGTATTTGATCACGACTATGAAATTCTAATTCCCATCCCGTTTGGTCCAATGTACCTTTTCATTATTTGGCAATATAGGATTGCTGCAATTTAAAACCAAATAAAATAGATTTAAAATATACCGCTTCATAGTATTAAATAGTCAGAGTGAAAGTTCCACTTGGAAATCAGGAATGTCTAGAAGCAAAGCAGGACCAGTATTTCACAGCAGTAATGAGACAGCTTTGTTTCTTTTGCAGAGCCAAACAATTGTGACAATGCTATTGGACTCCACCAGAGCTCCCCAGAAATGCAAAGGTCTCTCAGTCTCCTAGACACTGAAATTTTTGAACTTCATTAGCGGTTTTTGGCAAATGTCACGAGGAAATAGCAGTAAGTGTAAGTATCAACAGAGTTTTGAGTCTGCAGCCTGCAAGATGCCACTGTAAGGAAGCATGAGCAGGCAGGCAGCAGAAATTATGTTACAGCTGTTATGTCTAATATTTGTAGCAGTCTAGTTTTGTGACAATATAACACTTGTTCCTGCTTGAACAATAAATAGCTTAAGAATAGAATGAATTACTGTATGTGAATTGTCTATATATATATATATCACAGAGACAGCTGAATAAAAGCACGTACTACTGTGTGCAAACTTAGCTTAAAAACAATGAAATGTCTATATGGAGTATGACAGCCTACCTTCAATAAGGAAAAAGACATTGTCTTTTTTCTAAACCCAGACCTTTAATTCAGTTTTAAAATTGCCAAGAAGGCATATTTTTCTATGCAGAGAATATAGGAGCTGAGCAGACCATACTTACCAATACAATATCCAGGAGTTATTTTAATTTCAAAAATTGCTATACTGGCAAATTTATCTTGTCTCATTTCACCTTCCAGTATAATCTGCACAATATAAACCAAATTGTAAATTTTAGGGTTTCAGCATTTCCATTATCACTGTGGACATTTAAACAGGACAAACAGGAGAACAAATTAAATATATGTGGAGAACTTACTGTCCTTACGGTCAGGACAGGTGCTTTTGCTGGAAGAGCTTGGCAAAATGCATTAAAGACAGAGTTAGTGCCCTTCCTCAAGGACAGAAAGCACACTGAAGGACAATGAGACAAGGCCAAAACAGCCCACACTTCATGAAAGAGTATGGGACTCCAGCTTCCTCAGCTGTGGCCACACAGGACGTTATTGCAAGAGATGCGGTGTGATGGGGTTTGGGTAGACATACTCCCAAGATTCAGGCTCCTCTCATAAGGGCCCAGAGGACAGGGACGAGTGAGCGCTGCTGCAGACCCAAGACCCAGGAGGTCCCGTGTCCGTGAGGGGACGCCGGCAGCTCCGCATGGCTGCCGGGAGGTGAGGCACTGCCAGCGCCCAGCTCGGCTGCACCACGCGCTGCCTGGGAAGGCTACTGCCTGCCAGGCTCGGCACAGCTCTGCTCACTGGTTTTGGGGACAGAGGGGTCGACTGACGCACACAGAGGTGGAAGCCAAGAATAGGGCCCAGGGTGGAAATGTTCGAAAAGTAGTCCTTATGCCACAGCACGTGCACCAGGAAAGCCTGTAGCATCTTCCAAAATCAGGCATACCTTGTACTTCTTTGTGCTGTTCGTTAAGTCTAAGCTAGCTATGAGCCAGCTATCTGAAGGCTCCTTGGCTGACCAGAGCAAACGGTCAAAGCTCTCTCCTTCCTGCCTCAGGTACAGGTTGAGCCTGGCGGGATCAGGTGAAGTCTCCGAAGTTGTTGCTATCTGATAAATCAGTCTGACACAGCTCCACTCCTCAGAGTACAGCTCAGGGCTGGACAGCACTGCTTTCTCACCCTCGTAGGATGTATCCACAGAAATGTAATGTCCTGGGAACAAAGGCAAGATACACATCCATATAATAAATGTTAGAGACTTTGCTTTTGCATCACTGGATAAAAGTATTTATTTATAAAGGAATGGTTGTTCTGGGGCTAGGTCAGGAGATTGAGACTGCCATTCATTTAACCTTTTGATAGCTCACTATACCTGTACAAATGCCACTTCATGTGTCTCATGCCATTTTTAGTCACAATTTTTACATTATTGGAAATCTTCAGAGAAAGATGTTAAATAAGTGTAAAGCAGATTATTAAGACAAACAGCTATTATTTTAAGTATTTCCCTCCAAAACTGATAGCTACAAGTTCCAAAGCATTTCTAGTTTTAAAGAACAAAACTAGAAAGACACTTGTAAGTAGTAAAACTTAACATGTGCAAATCTGCTGATTCAAAAGAAGTGCTAAATGTAAAGTTACGTTTAAACATATCATCTGTCTCAATGGGATTATTTAAAAATTAATCTCCAGATGGATATTGTAGGAGCAGGGCCTAAAATATCACCTCCTCTATAAGAACAAAAGCAAGTATGGGATGACAAGCTAAAAAGTCAAGAGGAGGCCAATAAAATGCCAAAGAAACAACATGTAGAAAAAGAAGGATAAATAAATCACAGCAAAATACAAGTCTGGTCCTGTAGACCTTACTAACACATCAAAACCAAGATCAGAAGAATAAAACAGGATACAGGAGTCACAGAAACCTGGAATGCAATGCCAGAAACAAGTGAAACAGAGAAAGAAAATTAAAAACAAAAACAAAAATAAAACAAGCTAGGACATCCATGGCTGAAACATTACCCCATAGATAATCAGGAAAATGATCCTCCTAACCTAGCGGGAATGTATATCAGACAAATCCCATTCCTGATACTATTTCTCAGCAGCCAGGCTGCAAGCAAGAGTCACAAGAACTGTCAGGGACTGTGTCAAGTCTGTCCTTCACCCAGCAGCACATCACACCTATACTAGAGCATGTATTTCTTCTTCTTTAATCTCATTTCACTTGACCACAGAGCCTGTTCTCAGTTACCACACATATGTAAGCACTTGTTTAACTTGGACACGCCAGCAATTGGAGTGATGTTAAATATATTACTTGCCTTTGAGGCACACTCTCCCCTCCCAAATCCTGCCTGAACCCTCCAACTCTACCAGGCCACCCTAGGGTTGCTTCCTAGGAGCTCCAATATCATCCTCTCATATTCACAACTATTCTCTCCTACGTGAAAAAAATCATCTGCGCAGACAGTACCAACCCCAAGGCAAACAGCATGTACAGATTGGTCTGTGAGGTTCCCGAAGTCCTCCCCCACACCCCGCCCCGGGGAAGATGCCTGGAGCAGGCAGCAGCTCTGACAACACCTGATTCCTTGGGCAGTGCATGTTACAGCATCCCCCTGCATTTGCTCCCTCTCTCACCTGCAGACACTGTGCACAGCAACCCATGTGTACTGTACATTTTTGTTTAAGAGTTGTAAGATAAATGATTGTCACTTACTCAGCGGGTAGATGCAGCCCTAAGCAGTATAAGGGGCTGTGTAAATACAAGAAAACTGCATTTTCTTTCCCTTTTTAGGGAATGGAATTTTTTTTTGCCTCTTACCATAATTTCTCTTTGTATCTACTGTGTCTGGTTATAGTCTTTTGAAGGAATATACAAAATCACTGGTTAAGTACGAGTAATTTGTTACTGCAGCAGCAGTAACATGAAAGCAAAATAAACACAGGAACAAATATTTAAAAATAGGCACCTAATGTGGCTGCCAAATACTTAATCTGCCACTATGTACAATGTGAATGCATAAAACATCCACTTGCATACAGATATCAAGTTAGTTCACAAGAGCTAGCACAGGTATGCATGTTTTTCACATGCATGGAGGCTAGAGGGAAATCACCAAGGTCTATCAGAAGTTGAATGCTTCTGACACATTTGCTTTTAATTGATATAAATGGCAACACCCAGTTCAGAAAAAGAATCTTTGTTTTTAAGCTAGTCTGAATTTGGATCATTTTGCCTACAAAGAAACCTACAATTCAGAATCCGTGCCTGGCAATTTCAGTTTAGATTTCAGCCCTATTTTTGTCTGTACTTCATGAGAAAACCCATAGGAAACAGAGCCTTCTTATAATATTTACCTTTTTTTTTTTTCAGAGATAAATTAGTGTTGACATAGGAAAACATATTCACATGCAGACCTCAAATTACCAGCTATGAGGCATAAATGGCTGTCTAGTTTTAAGGCTTAATTATAAGTAGACTAAGGTTCTTCTACAAAAATAGTGATTTAAAAGAGAAAGAAAACCTCTTAGAGTTTCCAGTTGGGATGATTATGCTTCTATAAACTTGACTCTGGTTCCTCTACTTTGCTGTACACTTGCTTTCACTTGGTCTGATTCCTCACTGATACAAGAGCAAAGATCATGAACTCTCGTCTTATTCAGGGTGGGGTTTTTTTTTTTAAAAAAAAGACTAATTTGACCTATTCGTTACAGTGTCCAGAAATGGAGTGCTCTCACCCTCTACTTTCTAATCATTTTAGCATGTTCTGGAAATTTAAATGTGTGATTGGCTCCACTGAAATCAATGGGAGTACTGATAGTAAGTTTAAATGCTTTGCTAATCAGGATCAGGGAGCTTGGCAATTTGCAGTACCAAGCACAGAAAATGCTAATGTTAAACATCTTCCAAATGAATGCTGCCATTGACTAAATGGCCTTTATACTAAACTGTATTTCAATAATAGCAACGACGTGCCATTGCTGCAGAAAGGAAGGTCTCACCATGCAGACTTCAAGGACTGACACAGAGCAATTGTGAGCGCAAATCAATGCAAAGAGAGGGTTCCTTGGAGTAAGGAAACAGACAACTTTCCACACTTGTTTGTGGGAGTAACAGAAGGGTATTTAGCAGTCTGTGGAGAATTTGATGAATGCACAGTGCTGTAGCCTGAATTCTCTCATTAAAAATGTAACATGCAGCTTCATTTTGCAGCATGCCACATGATTTTTTTCCTCAAAATCCTCCTCCTCCAAATGCCCATAGCACTTAATTTATAGCAGTCATTCAGGAGTTATCAAGAGGCGGCTACTCTTCAAAATCACAGGAAAGCAGGAGAGGTAGTGACAAAACGCTAGGAAAAGCCTGATTACACAGAAACACAAGCATAAAATTCCTGGCAATTACTTGTCCATGGGGTAGACGCAGGCCTAAGCAGTATAAAGGGCTGCGCAAATACAGGAAAGCTGCACTTTCTTTCAATTTTTGGTGAATGGTATGAGGTTTTGACATTATGTGAAGACACCAGATAAGCTTCTTCACAGACAACAACAGCCAGGGATCGCTAACTGCCTTTGTGTGCTAACAGCTAGCAGTTTCCCAGTGAAACAGCCAAGAAAGGAGATGGGGAAATGGGACTCTCATGTATTTCCTTCACCGCTCGCTCACTACTCAAGCTGGCGAGCAATGCACTTTTTAACCACATTCCTATAATGACTTTTTACCTATTGTATAACTTCACTGTCTTCTCCTTGACAGCTGAATCAAACTGTACAGGACCAAGCATGTGTTCATTTTATGTTCCTCCATGTCCAAGCAAAATATTGAGCCCTGGAGGGATTAGGACCCAATGTTTCTAACCTATGCCTCCTCAATTCAGAGATGCATTGTGGCGGTTAAGACTCACAAAATGAGACCTTTAAAATCCTTCTGTATGCATGTCTGTCATCTTGCTGCTCTAATAAGCAGTTCCATACAGAATCTCTCTCAATTACAGTTGGTTATGCTTTAAGTCTATGAGTCATTCACCCAAATTGTCCAAATCTATATTTAATTTTTTTCTTTATTTACTTACCAAATAGGCACCAATATATCAGTCAGCAGTGATTATATCAATGGTTTAGGAGTAGGGGGGTTGAGTCCAATACTACTTTTTCCCCAAACCAGTGCAGAAAATACACTGATTGCGCTCTCTGTAAATAACACAAACCAGGCAAAATGCCAGACACTGGTTAATAAACGAAACCAAATTCCATTGACAAAATGAAAAAAAAAAAACACAACTGGGATAACTAAAACTACCAGTTAGCTTTTCAATTATATATTTTGTCTGTAAAAATTTGGAAGGGTAACCACATACATGTTAGACCCCTTGTGGGGTTTATATCTGACACAGCTGTTTGCTTAGTTCAGCAACAGTGCAGCTTTACAAGAAAAACTGCATATAAGCAGTGAGCTCCAAGAGAAACATTATTAAGGAAATACGAAGCAGAAAAAGTTTGGGAATTTACATTTGATTAGGCACTCATTTGTAAAGAAAATTTGCAAGAAATGTCTTAAAGTTACCAGTCATTTTTTAATACCTATTAAGCCTTCTTACATCACCAGGAAAAGTTAGTTAAACATTTTAACAATACTCGTGGGTACAGATGAGGTTTAGATGAAGGTTCAGAGTTGCAGTTAAGAACACAGAAATTCTACCAGCTTCTTCATATGAGATTCTGGCTGAATCTAGAAGAAGGCTTGTGACACCGAATAGGAAATCTTCGGACTCAACACTCTACCTTTGGTTCAATTTTTTTTCAGTAGAAAGCAAACTTTTCAACTAAAGTGGACATTTTTTTGCTGACAATTTGTATTGAAAAACAGAACCGTGTGGATCAATGTTAAATTTGTCCTATCTACAAAAAGTTTAGGTTTTCCAAAGAAAATTCTTCCTCTAAACAGGAACAGTCACCATGCATTTTGGTAAGGCCTTTTGGAGGGAAGAGTTGGAGGGTGAGGTGGGTTTTTTTTCAAATTTTTTTAGGCAGTGTCTTGGGAAAGCAAAAAATTGCACAAGCAAGTGACTTTTCTGTTGGAGGTAAAGCTTTTGCTCTACAATTCCATGAAGAAAGTAAAAGAAATCCCCAAACCAATCAAACACACAAAAGCCTGCACAAATATTTCAGCTGGGCTTACAATATTGTGCTGAGATTAGAGGATGAGC